AAAAATTAGAAAATAGGAAACAGAGAACAGTTTTTAGTTAGTAAACAAGTTTTCTAAACAGAAAACAGAGAACGAAAAATTGAGAATGAAAACTGAAAATTAGAAAACAGAAAACAGAGAATAGTTTTCTGTTGGTAAACGGACCCTAAGAGTTTTACCCATTAAGTTATAAATACATTTAGTTGCTCCCTTTTGTGGGAGGTGATGTGTTCGAGGCGATTGTGGTGTCATCTGATGTAATAACTTGTATATATGGGTATCTCCTTCCCTTATAAAAGAAATGTACTTATTTGATTATTTTTGGAAAAAAAATTAAAAATCGATCTAAAAAATAATACAGTAATTAAAAGTGACAAATTCAAAATATTCAAATGATAAAAATAGTATTAAATCTATTATTATAAATATACAATACAATGTCAATTGTAATAATTGCCATATTAAGAAATTAGAAATGAATATTACTCCGTAGATTGTAACTATGTAAGTTTACGATAAAATAACTTTTTCCCTAATTTTATTTGTTAATCAAATTATGCCAAATTAAATTATTAATTAGTTTTTACTCCGAGAGAGAGAGAGAGAGGGTGGAAGTCTTCCAACACGGAAAACCAGTTGTGCGCTGTTGGTGGTAAGAGTTCAAAATTCTTCTTTGGATCTTCGCCATTTCGGAATTCTTCACGACGATCGTCTGATATTTTCCGTCGCCAAACACGACACCTCTTCCGCCGGCGAAGATTTCTACGATCTGCAAGTATTTTCCTGATCAGTGTACTATTTGATTAATTTTGAATTTTCATTAAGTGCCGATTAATCTATACTTTCTAAATTTTCCGTCGGTAACTTGTTAAATTATTAGGTAATGTAACTGAGTAATGATTCCGATTGAAACTATTTTCTGTTGAAGATCTGATAGATATGGTGCTAAATTCGGATCTAAGGTCTAGTCCTCTGTGTTCTGATGAAAGCAGTTAATGCAATGATGAATATTCTTCATTTCCATCATTTTTAGAAGCTATTCAGTATGTTGGATAATGTCGTTCCAAAATTGCATTACCAATTTACCCTCCTTAATATGTGCTTGGAAATGCTTATAACTAATCTGTGCCTTTGGCATTTTTTTTGGGAATACGTTTAATGTGCAGTGTAGATATACACATACTCACATACACTACAAGTTCCTGCTGTCTGGTTTCTTTTGAGTTCTGGGATTAACATGATTGTTTGTCATGTTTGAAACCAAAATTATTCAAGCCAAAAAGCATGGTCATATTTGCAGCTTTAGCATCTATTAAGAGTAAAACTGTTAATAGGAACACCTATAAGGAATTAGGGCTTATTATTTCCTATCTGTTGAGTTTTGACTTTGATAGTCCATTTAGTTGGTATGACTTGTGTTCTTCCTCTTTTTCTGTCTTTTAATAGCCATTCTGATGATTTTTGCAGGAGCCTTTCATCATTGCAAATTGATTTGGTGATTGAAGTAATTAAAGGAATCAAGCCTGTTTGATAAGCCTTTTTCAAGCTTCTAATATACTTGTTTCAATGAGCTTTGCACATATATGTGAAACATAGGGAGGAAACCTCTTACAAAGCATCAATTTGCATATTTTTAATTCTGCAAATATGGTGCTCAACAAAATTGCAGGATCTGTTTCTGCTTTTGTGGCTCGTTTCTCAACCCCAAAGACCACAACCACTCCTTATGTATCATCAGGTTTGCCACCATTGCCAGGTTCAATTCATGGTTATAACATTCCCAGTGTAGGACAGAAGAGTAAGTTGCGACTCTCCACATCCCTTCAAGATTTTTCTGTATATCGCCAGCATGATGTAGAATATGGTGATCTCAATCCTGAAATGGAGAGAATTTTGGCTAAGTCACATCAGGATACCTTTTTCCTTAGAGAGAATGATGGATCAAGTTTTTCCAAGGAGAGGGGATCTCCAAAACAGCCTTCTGGATGGAAGAAATGGTTGATAGTTCTTCTGATTCTCTTTTTGCTGCTGATTGCTTCTGTTTTGTGTATTTCATTGTCTTATTACTTTAAGTTATCTGAAGGTGCAACCAGGTTCTATGTTGTGCTTGATTGTGGTAGCACTGGGACTCGTGTTTATGTATATCAATCGTCCATTAACCACAATACAGATAGCAGTCTACCGGTTTTATTGAGATCAATGCCAGAAGGTTTTCAGAGAAAATCAAAATCTCAAAGTGGAAGGGCTTATAACCGAATGGAAACAGAACCTGGTCTTGACAAGTTGGTGCACAACGTGTCTGGCTTGAGAGGGGCAATCGGGCCGCTAATTCAATGGGCAGAGAACCAAATCCCAAGGCATGCCCATAAGACTACCTCCCTTTTTCTTTATGCTACAGCTGGGGTTCGCAGGCTACCAAGTTCGGACTCCAAATGGCTGCTTGACAATGCTTGGTCTCTTTTAAGAGGATCACCTTTCTTGTGCAAGAGAGAGTGGGTGAAAATCATTAGCGGAGAAGATGAAGCTTATTTTGGATGGATAGCTTTAAATTATGACGCTGGTGTATTGGGGACTAGACCTAAAAAGGAAACATTTGGTGCACTTGACTTGGGTGGCTCATCACTGCAAGTTACTTTTGAGAGTAAAGAAAGTTTCAAGGATGCAACTGGGTTAAAGCTGAGCATTGGCCCTGTCAACCATCAGCTCACTGGCTATTCCTTGCCAGGATATGGCCTAAATGATGCCTTTGACAAGTCTGTAGCTTACCTTTTCAAAAAGCTTTCTAAGATTAATGATGCTGATTTGGCTAGTGGAAATGTTGAGATCAAGCATCCCTGTTTGCAGTTTGGTTACAAGGAGCAATATGTATGTTTTAATTGTGTTCCACAGTCTCCAATAAGTGAGCATCCTCCCAGTGTAAGAGGAGAATTTAGTAAAGGAGGAAAGCACGGCATTCCCATTCAGCTCGTTGGAACTCCAGAATGGAATGAATGCAGTTCACTTGCAAAAATTGTTGTCAATTCATCTGGATGGTTGAACCAAAAACCAAGAGTTGATTGTGAAGTGCAGCCATGTAGTCTTGAAGGGAGTCATCCCCATCCTACTGGACAATTCTATGCTATGTCTGGTTTCTATGTGGTGTATCGATTTTTCAACTTGGCTTCTGATGCCAACCTAGATGTTGTGTTACAGAAGGGTCAAGAATTTTGCAAGAAGGCTTGGGATGTTGCAAAGAAAAGTGTTGCGCCCCAACCTTTTATAGAACAATACTGCTTCAGGGCACCATATATTGCATATCTATTGAGAGAAGGGTTGCATATTAGTGATAGTAATGTAATTATTGATTCTGGAAGAACCACTTGGACACTTGGAGTTGCTCTCTTGGAAGCTGGAAAGGCAGTTTCAACTAAGTTTGAATTTCAGAATTACCAGATATTCCAGATGAAGATTAAAGCTGTTCTTCCATGGATTGCTTTACTTGCTTCTTTGGTTGTTCTTCTTTGTGCATTATTATGCATTGGTAACTGGATCCCTAAGTTCTTCCGGAAGACATATCTTCCTGTTTTCAGGCATAATAATGCCTCAACCACCTATATTATGCAAAATCCTTTCAAGTTCCAGCGTTGGAGTCCAATCAGTACAGGTAATTTCTTCTAAATGACCTTTGATTGCGCTTCTTTTCTTGAAAATTATGAAAGTGTTATGCTTTCCTTTCTACCATTCAAAGCAATGTTAGGGGAAAACACCGTGCAATGCACATTTTGATACTTGAATGCTTGGTGGGTTTCGCAAAAGAGCCAGTTTTGCAAATTTCCTTAGTGTGGCATCAAATTGTCAATTCAGCTGGATATGCTAGTTCTTGACCAAGAATCTGTAGTATCTAATATTTCAATCTTGTGATTCTTTTCATTAAGGGCCTCGATGCTAATGCATATTTCTAAGCATCCATCCTCATTTCACTTTTCAAATGTACTCATTTTGTGTCCAGGGGATGGAAGAGAGAAAGTGCCACTCAGTCCAACAATCGCAGCTACCCAACGAAGAGCATTTGACACTGGATATGGTTTTGGGGGCCATGATGTGCAGCTCAGCGAATCTTCCCCGTACCCGTCATCTAGCGGTGTAACACATAGTTATTCATCTGGAAGTTTGGGGCAAATGCAATTCGATAATAATACAATGGGGTCCTTCCGACCCCCACATAGAAGCCAACAACGACTTCAAAGCAGGAGATCACAATCTCGGGAGGACCTTCACAGCTCATTGGCCGAGGCAAATGGGGTAAAGGTCTAACACCCATGACTATCTCTCTTTTTGGCTTAAAACAAAATGCAGTTGAAAATTTTGGTTAACCATTGCCCCGAAGATATATTTGCGCTCCATGTTGCACATTCTCTAATCCCATACGTATCGAGAAATGAAGACTTCCCTACTTTGCTCTATAGAGTCCGCTCTCCACAAGGAGGGAGATAGCCAGCTGACTTAGTAAGCATAGAATACTCAATTGTTTTGGTGGCTCTGCCAAATAGTGGGAACGGGAAAAGGATTTGAACTATGTGAATAGTTTGTATACCAGATGTTACTGTGAGTCTCTGACTTATTACTTGAGGTTAGTCCTATTCCTATCACAGAAGTAGATGGAAGACACTTGGGGTCCCATGGGCGGTTCCCAAAGGGACTAATATTACTTAATGTGGGGGTAGCTTTGTAGATGTTGTTTCATCAATCAATATAGATCAAAATTTTTGGCTACTCACTGCATTCTTATTGCCCGTTAAATTGTTATAGATGATCCTCCTCAGCTGACGATAATTCCTTGATACATTATTAAGCTTATTTTTGTTTTAACCAATGCATATCTGTTTGGTCTATTTGCTGAAACTGCTTACATTAAATTGTCGTGCATTTTGTACAAATTGAGTGGAGCATAAGTTGCAAGAATTGCGGATGAAAATACAAAAAAAAAAATTAATAATAATAATAAAAATAAAATAAATAAATAAAATCATGTAACTAAAAGGTTGAGCTAAAAATCAATGTTGAAACTAAAATTGCTTTGAGATAAATTATCAAAATGACAGGTCCCAACTACGACTATAAAGCTTTCAAAAATCAAGGCATCATGATTTCATTACTCTTCAATACAAAATTTAGACCTATAACAACCGTGTTATCATTCATTTTAAAATTACAATTTACCGGTCAAAAAAAGACTTCCTCGATTATTAGGCCACAGCTGGATCAGCTACTGCCTAGTGCCTACTGGTCAGTGACAAACTGAGATAGAAATCAACAGAGATTATAAGGTACCAAACAACTACCTCATTTCAAAAAGAATTATAGCTCAACCTTTGAGGATGGTTCGGCAGTGTTCCTTAGTGAGAAAAGCCATCCAAACGCTCTTGACCAAACACTTGTTGAAGCACTCGGGTTTACATTGCAAAGGGTGTTGTAGTCATGTTTCAAGTGAGGAGCAGCTATTCGGTTCTGGATGAAAACAGGAATGACTATTTGTGAGACAGTGTATCCAGCAGCCTAAACTAAATTCCATATACAAACTCACAATGTTCTACCTTAAATATTTCAAATGGGCAAAATGCTGATCCATTGCAACCCTGTGCATACAAAAACACAAAAATGTTAAACCCTAAAATAGAAACATAAAATGAATAATAAAGGAACAGGCCAAGTTATGTAAAAACAAATCAATTGGGATTACTATTCAAAAGTTCGAACCCCAAAGTTGGTTGGGCAACACTATGACCACTTTGAACACCTTTTAGAAATTTTCCACATCTATGAACATTCACAAACTAGTTGTCCCCACGCAAAATAGATCAAGATTGAGATGGGCACTATAGTAGAGCGGAAAATCAAGGCTAGAGGATATACATATTAAGGAAGAGCATAGAAAAACCTATTACTATGTATAGCTATAGTTGTAAGATGTATCAATTTAATAAATCCAAAGCCAAGATCTTAAAAAGCATACCGCCATTGGAATTGGATGTTCATTGTGCAGCACATGCACATAATACTTGCTTGACTCCTTTGTGGGGCAGCTATAGAGTACTAGCATGTTATTTCCACCAAAAGGTGTCACTACACTGCCTCGCCAGTTTCTCTTTTGAGGAGGCTTAGGAGGGAGTGGCAATGCTTCTTCTCTTTGAATTCGTTCAAATTCTGAAACATTTGACAAATGAAACCGACTCAGAAAAGCAAAGTGAGCAAAAGTCAGGATGCATATTATTACAGTAAAATCACTCACCAGATTCTTCAAGAAATAGCCCAATCAAACATGAAAAGGGAAGCAGGGTTTCTGCATGAGCAAAACGTAGTCTTGCCTTTTCGTAACTTCCAGGAGCATATCCCTCTAGAGGAAAAATCATGCACGTAAAATATTTGAAATAAATGAGTACAAGAAAAAAAACTGAAAAGGTAAGGCTCAAAAGCATCTTTGCAAATCAACTAAACCTTAACACAACCCTAAGCTGGCACATAGCATCTTTCCATTGAATAAAAGTTTCATTTGAGGACTCACTTAGAGAAACACCATAATTAAGTAGGAGATGATGGAAAGTCATATTTACTGGAAACATAGTCTAGATAGCAAAATTTCTCATGGTTTAGCTTCCTATTAAAATATCCTAGTAAATAGTAAGTTAGTTACTTGATTTTCTTATGCATTTCAATTTTTCATTTTTATTATTATTCCTATTATATATTTTGTGGTTCCATTTCACCTTTTTATTTCCTGTCTTGAGATTCATTAGCTTTCCATTTCTAATATTTTCTGTACCTTATTTTATTTTATTGCAATGGACACTAAATTGTTGGCAAAATTTATTCTTAGTGATGCACCATGTTCACTAGTCTGCTGGACACAGCTTCCATTGTTGACACTTGACTCCTAGACATATGCAACTAAAAAATAAAAAAAATAAAAAATAAAAAATAAAAAAAATAAAAAATAAAAAATAAAAAACTCAACAAATCAACATTAGCACCTCTTCAGCTCACAAATATCAGTTTCATGTTTCAAAAGTCCTTGCCACTAGGGGAAAATGCAACACCTTTCATATGTTTCCAAAATAAATGGACATGAAATCAGCTTTTCATAGAAAATGTTACCTTCTTTAGCCTTGATTGCCTGCTCCATAGATTGAAGCACATCTTCAAGCAATGGCACTCCCATTCTGTAGTTCAATGAATTACCATAGCCTTTTACTATGAACAACTCCAAGTCATCAGTCCACTCCAACAAAGAAACCTAAGAAATGAGAAATCAGTTACTGAATAAAGCATATATGGTACATGATTCAAACAGAGAAATATAGCCGCATATGAATGTTTACCAGAAGCAGAACTAATTCACATTAAGTCATTACCCACTGACTATATAAAACAGCATTGATGAACTTAACATATTTAGTAATCTTATTCTCAAAGGGTTGAGTGGTAAAGAAAAATGAGGGAAATAGTGCCACAAGGAATCGTACAGTTGAAGATACAAAAATGGTTTACAGCATTCCTAGGGACTTTAAGAAAACTCATGTTATTTGGGGCTTACAAAAGATGCTCATAATTTTCTGATTTGAAAACTTGGGGGTGGAGGGGAGGGGAGCATATTCTCCCCTCATTGGCTCATTCCCTAATCTAAAAAGAAAAGAATCCCTTAGGTACAAAATGACCAGCATTGAAGATAAAAAGTACATCACCAAAGAACTAAATATGAAGTACCTCTGACGGACTGAATAGACTGCAAGCTTGATCAGTTATGTTAAGTAAGGATGCTTCCTGCAAAAAATGTTGACCAAGGAATATTCATGATCAGGAGAAAATACTATTCTGAATTATTCATTTTAGCACTCATAAAAACACTATTGATACATTACTGACCTGTTTACAGAGAAACCATAAAGAAGATATATCTTGCCTAGTAAAATTAAGCCCATATTTCTTCATTAAGCGCTGAGTGATCTCATTCAAGACAGGCTCCTTAAGCTTGTCAACAGTAGGGTGTTGACTCTTTCTGAATCCCTGTATAAAAAGAACATGGAGATTTTATCAGGCATAAGTAGCAAACCAGAAGCTAATGAACAAAATCCAACTTATATGAAGGCAATTCTGAAGGGGAGACAAATGAATAGGATTTTTCTATTTATCAACATCTAGTTGAGCTTTTGCATCATGCAGACAGAACCACTCAGCTCACTAGGTATCAACTATGTCTTTATGTTACATCTTTATCACCATCTGAACATTAAATCTAATTTGAGAAGAAAGACCTCCACATAGAAATTATAGTCAGTATATCATGCTAATCTGCATAAAAATCTCAAGAAATAGTTTACAATTTACCTTGTAGCTTCGACAACAATCATGAAATCTCAGAATTCTATCACTTGCACGGCTTTCACTAATAACTGCAAAGGCTTGATTCCTGCCTGGCCCAAGCTTCCCTCTTCCACTAAACAGGCCCATGCCAAATGCCACAGCACTAGCTGATGCCCGAGGAATCTAAAAAACTCACTTCTATTAATAAATGGATAAGATTATTTAAGGCAAAAGATTTCATTAGAAAGAATATAGGCTGTCAACTTCAAAACACAGTTCAAAATGCAAGAGTGTTGTAAGGAAACACCCTCTATATGTGTCTCACAAACAGTGATACAGTTATATAGCAGTGAATCAGTAAGCAGATAAGCAGATTGCTACTTGCTAGCCTTTTCTGCTCTGGTCAGCAGCAGCATTGAATGGTCTTGGCAGGGAAACCAGAATTCAAATTAAACAAATAGTGAAGCACTAATGCACGAATACTCAAAAAACTGAGTGATAATAAAACCAACCTGAGAAGCTTTGATTGTATAAACATCCGGATGGTATTCCTCATTAAAGAGGTCTGGAAAAAGTTGTCTGATTCTTATCCCAAGATTATATAGTTCATCTTCTCCTTCAGCAATCAGCTGCCCACCTGTGCGCTTTCCCTTCCATGGAGACTTCCACCCATGCAGCCAAGCAGGAACTTTCTCCAATGATTTCATTTCTTCTTTTCCATCTTCCAGAAGGACTTCTAAGCGGTTGGCTAAGGCATCTAACTCCATTATCTTTTTCTTTGTTGGAGCACGAGTGCCATGCCTTGCCTTCCAAACCATATATATAATATATTGCTTATAACTAAATAAAAGTATCACTGTACCTCAAACCATAATGTAGCAAAATATCTTGAACAATTAATTCTTAGCCAAGATATCTTTTCACTCAAAAACACAAGCAAGAGACACCTCTGTTCTTATAAATGACATTGTATTAGCAGCATGCTTACTAAGTACATTGAAACTGTATATGTATAGTATGCCCATACTCTAGCATAATTTCATTAATCTTTATCTCAAGCATTAACTCCATTAGAAAGTTTTCCCCTTGAATTCAGTCAGTACACTGACTACGGTTTTCATACAAGTTAAAAAACAAAAAAAAAAAAAAAAAACGTGGCACATTCATAACAAAATTAGCCAATCATATTGAACTGTTGTCCAGTCAGCACTGCCAACTCATCTGAGGCTTACCTTCCTAGGCAAGTCAGGACTTATGATACTAATTGCCACTTGAGTTCATGTAGGCGAATCAGTGCGTGCAATAAATATGTACCATGAATTGCTGCACTATAAGCAGAATAACAACTATTGTATCAACTTACTGCAATATATGGTCACCAATGAAATTATTTATCCTAGACATCAGCACAATCTGAACAACTGAACAAGGATCATATGAACTTAGAAATTAAATTCTATAGTCACAGACTCACAGAAAGTAGTTATCATTTTAACACAAGCATGACCTTAAGATATATTACTCCGTACATCTATGCATAAAATAAGAATGCATTTCAAAATTACCAATAGGTTTATGTGTATTGGGGTACATTGATCGGGAATCTCCGGAGCTATAATCGATTCTTCTGATAGTATATCTTTCACAATACCATACCTGTGACAAATGAAAACATATATTACAAAATAAAACTTAAAATTCATGAACGATCAAACATGCATGATGCATTCAACCGGAAATCTGCATCTATAGACTATACGCAGTCCGAAGAAAGCAAAATTCAAAGATAAACAAAGCTTAGAATTGCTAATGGAGCAGCAAACATGAAGAAAGAGCATACGAAATGCATCAAATTAGTCCGAAATCACACATATTAAAAGCATAAAAAGTATAGGAGAAACATGCCTAGATACAGTACAGAGATGTTTCCGAACATCGAAAACTCCTTCAGCGCTTGAATATAGGGTAAATTCACTGAGAAAAATTACAAATAAAACTGCGACTTCCACGGCCTTCTTCATCTCTCCTCTCTAATTCTGGAATTACCGAATCTACGGCAACTTTACATTGAGAGAGTACGGTCTCTGACTTTCTGAACAAGGTAACGTGGGCTCAGCATATTGTAAGGCCCAAATTACAAATCTACTTTTAGGCTTCTACCGGATAAAAGGCCCAAATTACCTCCCAGGAAAATCAGTATATTATACTGAAAAAGAATTAATATATCCACATTTATACCGCAACTCTCAAAACTAGATTAATCTCATTTCGCATAATACAGATACTAAGATAATATTGCAGGCGCCAATGACCTTGTGGTCTAGTGGTACGAAGTGACTATCCCAAATGAGAGAACATGAATTCGAGTTCTAGTGGAGGCGGTAACTTGTTAATTACAAGATTCCTAGTTCGATTCTACGTGAAAATTTTAAAGTGTGTTTGGTTCGCATATGAGAATCGAAATCGAAATGGGTATCAAATATTTAGTAATGGTAATGGTGTGTTTGGTTCGCATATGAGAATCGAAATCGAAATGGGTATCAAATACTTAGTAATGATAATGGATTTTGGTGAAAGTATTTTGCATGTTTGGTAGTAGGGTGGAATGTGGAATGAGAATAATTAGGCTAAGGATGAATAATGGGATGAAACCCTTATAAAATAAGGGAATGTGTTTTTCCATTAATGGGGTATTCCACACCCTAATAGTATTTTAAAAACCAGTCAACCAAACAATAACAATCACTTTCATACACATACCTGAGTGCTAAACCTGCCAACCAAACACACCCCTTTCCCATAAATCAAAGATACTAGTGTAATATTAAAAAAAAAAAAAAAAAAAAAAAAAAAAAAAAAAAAAAAAACCTCCCTCTACCCCATTTTACTCCCACTATTTCTTATTCGTTTATTCACTTTAATGTTTTATTGCAATTTTTAAATTCAATTTCTTGTGCTTACTTTTAATATAATTTTTAAATATATAATTTTACATTGCAAAATCAAATATTATCAAATATAAAATTATAAATAACTCAAATATGTTTCATTTTTGAGGAAAAGCATAGTAATAATAATATTAAATCAAATCCAAAATATAATCGGGCGAGGGGGGAGGTGAATCCCACACTCCAAGGACAGAAGAAAAATTAGTAATCCGAGCGACGTGATTCGTTGACCTCTTGACATAGTGAACCAAGACGTACCCAATGCCATTAGCAATCAAACAACATTGCTTGTAACTAAACCAATATGCGATAAGTCCTGACTAACAGAATTAAAACTAATGCAAAAATTTAAACAATCAAACTCCACAATAAAAACATTCTCAGGCCAATTCTTGATCCAAGCAAACTAGACACGTAAAATGATACGGAGGGAATAACATTCCTTAAATACTATGCCAAATTAGTCACTAGTCTGAAATATAGTCATGGTTGATTTTAGATGCTTCAATCTTGAGGAGAAATCTGTAAAATAAGACAACAAAAGTTTGTGCTAATCTTACATTTCTCAGACCAAAATTTTGTTACAGAGGTTAATTTAGTTATCAGAAGAGGAAGAGACCTACAAGGATGCTATCTATGACTACAGCTACAAAAGCTAAAGCTCTCAGTAGAACACTTTGAAACTATTTAAAAGTAAACAATGGTCTTAACAGAGGAACACTGAATGTATTTCAACAGGATTGGGCGATGTGTCTCAAAGCAAGTCTTCAGTTCCAGTCAACTTTGCGAATTCAGTTTCATCAATAGCTCCTTTCTTCAGCTTTTTCAGTAGGCGGTATTCTTTAGCCATCTCATCATCATCTTCTACTGTCTGAGTAGCACGCCTCTTCTTAGCTGTTTGCTTCTTCATCTCAGCTTTTGACAAACTTGAGTCTCTCTTTGGCTTCTTCACTTCTTGCTGCTTTACGGCTTTTTTTGCCTCCAAGTTCTTTTTTCTTTGTTTCTCACGAGATTTGTCCCTATAAAGTGGTGTAACGGTTATGCAAACCCGCCTAGCTCCAATTGTACAAAAACCTTCCCAGTCTGAACTTCTATAACTAGCATAATCTTTCACAGTTGATAGAATTTTTACTTTCCAACATTTGCCATAAAAAAAAGTACAAATTTAAAAAATTTGGGAAAAAGGTCAAATAGGTCCCTAAACTTTATCCGAAAATCCAATTAGGTTTTAAAAGTTGTTATTTTGGTACATCGAAGCCCAAAAACCAGTGGAAACGCTAATCATATTAGACTTATAGGCGCTACTCAAAAAGGCAAGAATAAAAACGCTATGCCTTACTTGTACTTTATCTCCTCCAGGTTTATATCTTTTACGGGAATAAAACTCTCAGTGGAAAGAGAGTGATGCTTCACCTCCGGCACAGAAGGAAGCTGCAATAAGCCATATCCCATGCCCAATTTTCCAATCTCAAGCTCTTTCCACCTGCAAGTAGCGGAGTATTAAATCAAGGGGCATTTTATGAAACCTTTCAAGGAAAATCAAAAACTTATATTACCTGAAAATATATGAGCAATGATGCTCTTTATAAGCACGTATATAAGACACAAACGCTCTGATTCCCTTTTCCATAACATCACGGTCTTTTTTTGTTGCTAGCCGAATCTGGACAGAAACACTTTTGATAAAAATCACTTGCTTCAATAAGTTCACTTAACACAAACTACCAATAATAATAAACTGTTTATTTCCTTGACTCAATTTATATAATAATTTAATTTATCACAGGGGCTATTATCCAACTAGACTAAACGATATGCAGAACTTGTTGCTTTACAAGATAAATAAGAAAGCACTAATTAGTAATCTCCACTACAAACTTCCAAAGAGCTCCCTTTCTCTTCAGTACAAATGTAAAATAACCCAGGCAAACTAAAAAAAGCTGATTTCTCTTTTCCTAATTCTTTTTCTTGTTCCTCTTTAATTTTTTCTAGTGCAAAGAATTTTAAAAATAAAAAATAAAATGAAGAGAAAAGCTATAGTCGACAAGAAGGGAATGGTCTAATTGTAAAAGATTAATTCTGACCTCAGGAACAATATCAGGAGCCTCATTGAAGCACTCTCTTGCCTCAAGCGGAATCCTTCTTATCCGCAAGAAGTCTACATATGCTTCCTCCTACAAGAAACACAGACTGTCTTTGATAAGCCAATAGTTAAAGGTATGAATGTAAAATGAGAGAAGAAAAAATAAAAGCACAAGTTATGATGGTTCAAACATGATCAATAAACATGAAGCTATGGCCCCAATTAAGAAATGGAGTAAAACCTTACTAATCTTTTTGACAGATGATAGATAAGGCAGAGTTAAACTGGTTGTGCACAAAAACAACAAAAAAGTACCTTTGGTGACAGAAATATGATGGCATGCCCTTGCCTTCCCAGCCTAGCTGTTCGGCCTACTCTGTGAACAAATACATCTGGATCCTGAGGGGGGTCATACTGTGTATGGAAAACGAAAAGTTTTTAAATCCAAATTCACCAGGTCTAGCTTTCTAATCAATACCCCTGATAACATTGAGAGACAATCTGGCAAAAAAAAAAAACTGATAGGCAAGATCAAGGTTGCAAAAAACGGTAGACGACCCCTAGGCGCCGATTTTTTATTTTTTTAAAAATAAAAAAAATTAAAATTAAAAATTATGAAATTCACTAATAAAACATAAGGTTCCTTTAGTTTTTTCTTACAATTATTTACATAAGTGGTTGTAAAATCGTTTTGAATATTGTTGAAACCATCTAAATACATAAAAAAGAAAATTAAAATTAAGAGCAAAAGAAGCATTTTTTGGAGAAATTAGAGGGTCGAACCGCCTTCGGCGATTTGCGGTGTATAGATCTCGAAAAAATACGCAATTTGAAAAAAAAAATTGTCCAAAACGGACAACCGAGTCAAAAGTTATGCCTTCCCGAACTTTTAACACTTTAAAACAAAAAAATAATAATAATAATAAAATAAAAAATAAAAAATAAACGGCAGGTTCAGCCGGCTAGGCGGTCTAGGCGGCCGCTAGACCGCCTAGCCGGCCGGCCGCAGAGGAGGCCGATTCCGGCCTTCCTCGCGGCAGCCGCCTAGCGCCTAGGCGCGATTTTTGCAACCATGGGCAAGATAAAGGTTCAGGATTTATCCGATTTAAGATTTTCTGATATTTTCTAGAACCATTCTTTATCAGAAGGAATGCTTTGAGGAACAACATTTATCATTTTAGGAAAAATTGTAGAGTTACTTGCAGTGGGACATCAAACACAGTGACAATAAAAAAAACTTAACGGCGACAAGGAGTTCCTAGCTACTATCATGCCTCCTGCAAAACAATGCTTTACATAGAAGAAATAAAAGTCACCTGTATTATACAATCAACACCCGGTATATCAAGTCCACGTGCCGCGACATCAGTGCATAAGAGAATGCCACTGGAAAGAGATGTAAATGTTGATAACGCTTTCTCCCTAGCAGCCTATTGTCAAACGGGAAATGTGAATCAATTGCAAAATGACAAAAAATAACTATTTCTATGTGGCATTATTTAAATATGGCTCCCTTAAAAGTACCTGCTTCATCTTTCCATGAAGAGGTATTAAAGATAGCTTTTTCAGAGAAGAAATACGTGGAAGAACAACTCCCCAGTAATCAACACATGCACAAGTCATAAAGTAACTGCAAGAATAACGAGATGATAAATCATGTTAAGCTCTACCCTTGTAAGTGGACATACAGATGCAAACGAAACCAAACACCATACAGGAAAAATGCATACATTATAACTTTATTAGATTTGTTCCTAATTAGGAGATCAGCAAGCTGTGATGATTTCTTGTCTGCTTCACATACAAGATACTGCAAAATTAAACAGGCATCAAGAATGGTGTTAATGAATGCATGAAGAAAATATAGCTGTCAGTCATTTTATGGACACTTGATAAAAGGGATATTGTTAAATATAAAATGAAGTATAGATACCTCATCCTGAAGGCCTGCGGGTATTCTTGAAGAGGCAAGTTGGCCAGTGGATGTGGAATCATTTAGTGATTTTGCTTCTGCTCTAACTTCAACCCTCACCGGGTTCCTTAATCCGGCTTTTGATAACTCTTCAACTGCCT